GAAAAGTATCTTGGGAAACACAGCTTTAGAGTGAGTGTTAGTATGGGAAAGGCAAGAATTTTGGTGATATTTTATTCCTAATGTACTTAGTGATCAGCCTAATGCAAGTCAGTACTGCTGTTTGCTTGCTGTGGCTTCTTCCACTTCACACTCAGAATGGGAGTGCTGACAGAGAGAATTTCTGGAGCTGTGGGATCCAGGGACTTAGTAGGACTGCAAAGTTCCGATGCACTGATGCCATGTAGGACTGCGAACCCCTACATGGCATAATGGGCCTTATAAATCTTTTGCATTATGTCTCAGTTCATTCAGGGGCAAATTAGTACATATATATTTAGAAGCATCATATCATTTTGATTAACCGAAGATCATCCGTGTCCATAAGTTGAAAAGAAACTGAAAAGGTTAGTGCGTAGTTAACTTGCAAGTGTCACAAATTTTCATTAAAACTATTGAAAACTAGGGGGTTTTATATACACTGAGCAATGGCCATATCAATAAAACACTTTATACAAACAGTGTCATGGTTTAAGCTGAACCCAGGACAAACAGCTAAATATGAAGGCAATAAGGTTAATGGAAAATCAAACTATCTCATTTTCTATTAAGTGTTGTTGCACAGGAGAAAGGGGACAGAGATAAAAAGTGATATCAACAATCACAATATGGTAATACTTCCAGATGCCTTTTATTTTTCATGATCCTCATAAACAACTGATGTTGCTTGTTTGGGCTTAAAGGTTGAAACAAATACATAGCCAGCCTTTCATAATCACGTTTATTTGGTGTTAACGCTGACACTAGAATTCAAACAGAATTCCATGTTTAGACAGATTTGTTGGTTTTTTGTTAGTTCAAATGCATACTTCGTCTAAAATGCGTGCAATGACACTTTTGGCAAGTGTTTAAGTAAATTACAAGCCTAAATTCCTGTGGTGGAAGATTTAGCAGCTTGAAAAGATCACTCCATCTTTTCATACTCAACCTTATGCTCGCAAAGCCCATATTCTGCTGGGGTAAAACGCAACAAGCCAGCGTGTGGAGGCTGAGGAGGAGAAGAGGAAGCAAAATGCTCCTCTGCACTTCAGCAGGTTTTTCTCCAGAACTCTGACAGGTTCTGC